AGAAGGCTTTTTCGACTTCAATATCAGTGAAAGGCTCAGCAAGGGAGGAGATGGTATCCGCAGAGCACTTAACTTCCATAATCGACGCAATTTCAGCAGGAGAGGTAACAGTGGGCGAATGGGTACCTCCAAGGAGCGTCTGAAAATAATCAATGGCGTGATTCTTTATACCCTCAAGGGTGTTAATAACACAACCATTATTATCCAGTAGAAAGTGGATGTGGTTCTGAGCTTGCCTTGAACGGATAGCACGGTGAAAGAAGGCAGTACCCGCATCACCCTCAGCTGACCATTTCACTCTTGCTCGTTGGTGGAGGAACCTGTCCTCAGCCTTTGCCAAAGTAAACCACTTTTCGTGGGCAGATCTCTCAGCAGCAGCGGCACCCAAGCTCGGGGAAGAAAGAGAAACCTGCTGACAATCAGTAAGATGATCAAACGCCTCTTGAACCCGCTTTTCAATGCCATAAAAGTTTTCCTTATTGAAAGAACGGATGAAAGGCTTCATTTCCTTCAGCTTCTTCGAGACGCAGAGTTGCTTAGACCCATGAAACGGCATAGAACTCCAGGTAGCTCTGACGAGTTCTTGGAATTCAGGGTGGGAGTTTAAATGGGCAAAGAACCTGAAAGGGCGTTTTTGAGGAGGCTTGAGCTGGTCCAGAAACACACAGCATGGACTGTGATCAGAGATGCCGGGTTTTCCAAAGACAGCAATAGACTCAGGGTAAGCATCCAACCAGTCTTCATTACATAAAACCCGATCCAGCTTTTTAGAAACCGACGAGTTTGACCAAGTGAAAGTGTTGCCACTGAACTGAAGGTCGGTAAGCAGACAACGTTGAAGGCAGTCACGAAAATCACGCATACCTCTAGATGAGGCGAAGGGGCCAGATCGAGAGTGTTCAGAGGGGCTGATAATCTCATTAAAGTCCCCCAGCGCAATCCAAGGAAGGTCGCAGAGCAGAGGAGAGGAGGAGATAGCTTCAAGCTCAGCCCAAAGGAGTCTCCTTTCTTTTCTGCAGTTAGAAGCATAGACAAAAGAGACCACAAAATCTCTGGTCTGAAACGGTAGCTTGACAGAGCAGGTGATCATTTGCAGGGACTTGGCGATAATTTTAACCTGCACAGAAGGCTTCCAGACAACCCAAATTTTTCCGATATCGGAGAACTCGTAGTTACCTTCAAGAGACCAGGAGGGCAGGATGTTATTGATTATTGAAATAGAATTTGGCTGCTGTACATGCGTCTCAACGAGACAACCAAAAATAGGATCATATTTACGAATCCATTTCCTAAAACCACGTCGCTTTACTGTGATGAATACTTTATCCAAGCTGCCAAGGAACGTCATGTTGGCGAACATAACGTGAATAGGATGATGAACGTACTCAGCTACAGCTTCTTTGCTCTCAAATGTGGATTCGAAGATGTGTGTGAAATTTTAAAAAATAATCTAATACGATGAACTTCACCATCCCATTAAATTTTACCGGTTAGAGTGAAATTTTAAATATCAATTCCACATATTTTTTTTTTTTTTTTTGCCAATTGCGATCATTTTCCACATATTCTATTTTTGAAGAAAAAAAGAAATATCTTGTAAAATGTTTTTTTTGGTCAACAATTTTTTTTTGTAAAATTTCTTTCATTTAATTTTCTAAATATGCAAATATATAATTGATGAGAAGAATACACTGTTTCACAATATTTATTTCTTAATTTATTCAGCACATTCCTTTTGAAAATAAAGTCACTTACAGCCAAAAATCTACATTTTAAGAAAGATATATTATCTTCAAAAGGTGTCTTTTCGGAAAATTATTTAGATTTCAAGTTTCCACAAAATATCCATTTCCAAAAATATATTTAAAATATTTTTGTTTGCCCGAGTTTATATTTGGCAGTCCTATTTGCTTTCTGCCTGGTGAGATATTAGTTCAGAAATCACTAAACCATAATGATGAATTCCGACCTTCCATTTGATCTGGAAACGAAGATACTCGCCTGTGTTCCCAAAAGGTCTCGAGCACAATGGCAAACTACTTGTAAAAGGTGGTACACTTTACTCCAAGAACTACTCGCGGAGAAACACTTGGCTCAAGCAGGAAGAGAGTTCATCTTATTGTTGAATACTAGTGTTTATTCAACAGTCATCAACCTCCAGGGAGTTCATAACAACGTTGATCCGTCCATGGAGTTTGGAGGTAAACTTGGATCTTTAAAAGATTCAGAAAACTTACAAATACATGATATCTTTTACTGCAAGGGTATGATATTATGCACTACTGTGGGAAACAAAATCCTCGTGGTTTGTAACCCTAGTAACGGTGAAACTAGGTATGTGAAACCTAGAAACGGTTATAGTAGTTATGATTTATATGCTCTTGGATACAAAGGCAGCAAGACTTCTTGCATTAATAGCTACAAGATCTTGAGGTATTGTCGTTATTACGACATGGAACTGAAGCGCACGGTTATCGAGTTTGAAGTGTATGAGTTTAGCTCTGACTCATGGAGGGTTCGAAATGTCAATAAGCATGATTGGAACATATCAGCTCGTGGCGTGTCTGTGGAAGGAAACACTTACTGGGTGGCTAGAAGAGATGACAACGAGTGCAATCAGTTCATACTCAGTTTTGATTTCACAAGAGAGAGATTTGGGTCTCTCCCTCTTCCGTATGAGAGTGATGATCCTGATGATGTCATGAATGATGAGCATGAAGATACCGCAGTTCTGTCAGTTGTTAGAGACGAACAACTCTCGGTGTTACATCAGTATCTTCATATGTTTTCACTAGAGATGAAGATATGGATGAGCAATAGGATTGGGACCAAAGAGGTGTCGTGGGGCGAGTTCTTGGTAGTGGACTTGGGTGATTTTGTGATAGGAGATTTGGTAAATGTTGTAAGCTTCGTTTTGAACGTGGAGAATAGAGCGGCAGTGTGTTGTAGTACAAGCAAGGATGATAGTGAAGAAGACAGTACTGCCAGCATTTTCATTATTGGAGAGAAGATATATAGACATGTCTATGGTGAAGGGATTATAGATGGATCATGGCCACATCTCATGAATTATGTTCCAAGCTCGGTTCACATTTTGAAGAAGAGTACGCGTAAAAGCAAAAGGAAACGAATTACAAGGAGGTTAGTCAAATATATTAACTAGTTTATTTTTTGCTTTTCTTTGTTTATCTTACTCAAATACTTTATAACTAGATTTTGACCCGAGATTTTCAATCGCGAAAATTTTTTATGATTAAAAATTTATATAATTGAGTTTTGTCTTAATTTAAAAAATGTTTGGTATAAAACCACTTCACCAAAATTTGTGGTGATAATTGTTTTTCATTAGTTTTTAGTTTCATTTTTTATTTTTAGATTTTGTTTTAGATATTGGTTTTTGGTTTTTAGTTTTTAAATTTCTATTTTTGATTTTCGGTTTTTGGTTTGAGTTTTTAAAATTTTAAACCCGCTGTGTTAGTTTGAACTGATATTACCAACAAACAAATCCCAAATAATCGAACATCTAATTTCAAACTGAAAAGATAACAATTTTTTTTTAAAAAGAAATTTGCAATAGTTTATTTTGTAAATAAACAAAAGCAAAAAATATAACTTTCGTTTTCAGATTTTGGTTTTAGATTTTAGTTTTTAGTTTTTAGATTTGGTTTTTGGTTTTGCTTTACATTTTTAAAAAAAATTGTAAATTATTTAATAAAAATAAAACAAAAAATTATTTTAAAGTTACCATTGAAATTTATCAAAAAAGTGACTGTTATTTAAAATAAAAAATACATTAACATGTTTTAAATTACATGATTTAAATAAATGATTAATAATAGAAAATTTTGTTTTGTTAATAATATTATATACCTTTTGAGCCTGAAAATAATAATTGATTTTTTGATCTATTAAGGTGAAAATTTTATTCAATGTTTTTGGAATTTTTTCTTAATACTAAGCCCAAGACCAAACCATATAATTTGTTCTACAAAAAAAAGTAAACCCAAGACTATATCCCATAAATAACCACCGGTTTAATTTAAGTAATGCAGTTCAATTAAATATATGGCTTGTATATTTTGTAACACTCTATAAATAGTATAAATTTAAATGACAACTTGTATTAGTAAAAAAGAATTCTATTTTAATAGAGTAGAGTGCATTGGATGCATGTAGAGAAGAGTAGTTATTAAGAAACTTAATATCAGCATCTTAGCTTCATAGATTCATACATTGTTCCTTAGTCTTAAAACGGTATATGCTTAAATCTCACACAAGGATTGTTCTCTTGTAACGAAAACTGCATGTTTAATAATAGACTGCTTAAGGTATATATATTATTATTATGTTTCGGGTTAGGGTTCTCTTTAACTGTGTGTGAGCTTTTACAGGTATGGACCGGATGACACTTCTTCAAGAAGCGTAAGGAAACAAAAGTGACACCCAAAGCAAAATGAGTTCCTAAGGTTGCTTTGAATGTCCCAAAAAGGTTTAGAAAATGAAAATGACACCATGCTTAAAGCATGTCGAACTATTGTTGCTTTGAATGTCACAAAGCTTTCTATCTTTCTTTTTTTTTTTTTTTTTGTTGAGACAACCCCAAAGTTTGTAATAAATTGAACGCATATTTAAGTTTTTAATCTTATTTTGACTCACAAAATCAGAATAAATACAGTGTGCTTGTAGCTTTGTGGCTTTTCTGTGAACTTTGGACAATATAATCTAATGATTTGTTATTGCGATTATCCACACTAGATATATATATGCAGCGCCTATGCAGAATCTGTAACGAAGGCACCAGCGACAAAAGCTGCTACCAAGAGAGAGAGAGAAATGGCACTTTGATCATCGGTTTGATTAATTATATGGCGCTGACAGGGATTTTGAGAGAAAACTTACATAATGTGTCTATAGATCATAATGTGTTTACTTACAACTCACTGATCAACGGGTTTTACATGTAAGGTCGCCTATATGAGGCTATGGAAATGTTTTATTTGATGGAGAGCTATGGCTGCGTCCGGAATATAGTGACTTATACTACTCTCATACATGGAGTTTGCAAGTCCAAGAGGGTAGATGACGGTGTGAGACTCTTTAACGAGATAGGAAAGGATTAGCTGCCAACACAATCACTTACACGGTCTTTATCCATGGTTATTGCTTAGTAGGCAAACCCAATGTTGCACAAGAGGTGTTCAACCAGATGGGTTCTCACAATGCGCTTCCTGATATCAGGACCTACAACGTGCTGCTAGATGGTCTGTGTTATAACGGGAAGGTAGAGAAGGCATTGATGATTTGAGTACATGCGGAAGAGAGAAAAGGATGTTAGTATTGTTACGTATACAATTGTTATTCAAGGGATGTGCAAGGTTGGTAAGGTGGAAGATGCTTTTGATTTATTTTGTAGCCTTTTCTTCAAGGGAATGAAGCCTAATGTTGTAACATACACTACAATGATATCGGGATTTTGTAGGCCAGGCCTAATTCATGATGCTGATGCGTTGTTTAGGAAAATGAAAGAAATGGGTTCTTAATTACCAAATGAGCGTGTGTCTAAGTAGTTGACAATCATATGAGGAGATTGAAATACTTTTATATGATGATGCTGTTGCAGTTTGGGGGAGCACATACACAGGTTAGAAACTTATATTGCTTCAGGATTAGGTATGCTGTATTGGATAAAGTAATGTTTAATCTCCAGTATTGTTGTGGACTGTAACCTATTCAGGTACAATATAAAGTTTTGCTATACCTCGTCATGAAAGAATCAATAGCATATGGTATCAGATCTCTTCTTGACAGGTATTTTTTTGGTTGAAGACTTGTTTCTATCTTCCAGATTCTGCATTGAAGCACATTCGAGTATTGAACTGGAATAGTATTCTCTAGAAATATAATCAATATATAGATAGATAGTCAAGAAGGTATCTGTATATCAATAAGCTTGTTGAGTTATGAATCTCTACTGGTGTAAAGGGATTCAGATTTTGTGGAGAAATCCTTTTAGACTTTACTGAATGAATGTAAAGTTGTAAACTAATACATCAAGAAGGGATACAATAAACCGAATTATCTGATTTATACCAAACAAAACCCGGTTTGACCCCAATGTTATTTTACAATGGTTAATTATATTATTAAAATAATGGTAACTGCATAGAAGATATTACATACAACAATTCTACTTGTTTTATGAATATTTACGTTTAACTTTATCTATTTGAACCGTGCAGTGAAATCTTTTCAAAATTCAGATTCTAATTTAAAATAAAAATAAATTCTTAGTCAAACCGGATCCCGGTTTATTTATAATGTAGCTTAAAATGCTAAGAAATCTATAATTTAGTCATAAAAAAGGAATTATATATATATTTTTATAATAATAAAGTATATTTTTGGTGAAGATAAGAATACAATTACTTGGTGAAAGAAAAGGTGACTTTTATTTGGAGTTTGGGCAAATGAGAGTATTTTTTTTGTATAATTTTCCCTTGAATTTGAGTATCTCCAAATTAAATATCAAAAGGAAAAAAAAATCTGGAACCTTAGCTTTGACGTCATAATAAGAACCTTAGCTTCTTCTTCTTCTTCCTTCACCTGATCACTCCCTCTTTCTCTGAATCATAAACTCCAACGAGCAAAACACGATGGACGGGTCCGACGACAATAACATCTCTAATTCCGCAACATACGACATGCGTGGCGAAGTCACACTAGTTGCCATTGTAATCCTTTTCTTCATCTACCTCGTAATGTCCCTTCTCTATCTCTACTGTTGTGTCTCCCCCTCTAGGAGTCATCACATCCGCAGCCCTACAATGGTTTTCTTCGTCCCCACCAATCCTTCTCATACAGCCTCGCGCGGTCTACATCCCACCATCCTTAATTCTCTCCCTGTTGTCACTTTCTCCTCCTCCTCCGAAGACGCAGCAACTCGCAGGGATCCCACTGATTGCGCGGTTTGTCTTTCGGAGTTCGAGGAGGGAGAATCGGGTCGGGTTTTGCCCGGTTGCAAACATACTTTTCATGTTGAGTGTATTGATATGTGGTTTCATTCTCATTCCACTTGTCCTCTATGCCGCACTCTGGTTGAGCCTCTAGGCGGAAGTGAAGTACCTGTGGAGGAGCAAGTCGCGATCATCACGATTCCTCCTGTACCGGTTTCTGCTACTGAACCAGGATCGACCTCGGGATCTGGATCTTCTGCGATGCCGTTGGATGATTTAGGGAGAAATCCCGCAGCAATTGAGGTGCCGAGGTCCATCTGATGATTGAGCAGAGATTGAAGAAGCGCTTCGTCCTCTTCTTTCTTTGGAGCTTCGTCTCAATCTGCCGGATAGTGATGTTTGAATCGGGTATTGAGCGGGAAAGGAGAAGAGAATAAGTGACTTCCGCCGCATGGATGTTCCTTAGTGGTTTGTTTATGGATATTAACAACATGGTAAGAAACATAAATAACATATATTACTAATCCAGTATAAATATATTAATAATTTGTTTTCTATTGTTTCAATATGATTTATTTGTATAATTTAGTTTTGAAATCTAAAAAAAGATTGAATCATTTACATAAAAAAAAGAAATTGAGGGTAATAGTTTTGTTTTCATTGTTTCAACTAGATAAGGAACGCGTACAATATGGTACGGGAATTCATTTTATAAAAATAATTATTTCCTATTTAATAAAAAAGATTCTAGCAAGGAGTTATAATTGTTTTACGAAGAAATACATGTGTTACAAAATTATCTTGCATGCATATGTATTCTTTTTTTAATAATACTAGAAATCTATATTGTATTTCTAGATTTGGTTGTAATAAAATTACAAACATGTCAATACAAAATAAGATATATACCTTATTATATGTATATCTAAGTTATTTAAAATACTGAACAACTAATAAGTCATGTGCTACACTAATTTATTTGTATAATAAAATAATCAAAATCTCATTCTTGATTTGGCTAAGATACATAAATAACAGATAAAGTTTCTTGTATTTAATGTGTTTCTTTAAGATCTTTGATGATTAATTGAAAAAGTAGATCTTTGTTTTTATCTCTACTACATATTTGCTTTTATTATGATCTTCGACAATTACCATCTATATAATTAAAACACAAGGCTTTTTTTGAGGTCCCCATGATTTTTGGAAATATATACAGATCTTTGCCACTGAATTATTTAAACCTATAGTTTTTATTAATTATTTTTCCACCAAAACTTTTTCGAACAAGATATATATTGCCGTGATTATCTCTCCAATTTAATTTTAATAATGATATTATGTCATTGATTTAAACTACAAAATCAATATTCCTAAATGTCGCCAATTATGGTGATAATTATAGAAATATCATGTTTATTAATTACCTTAATATATTTTTATTTTTATTTATAATTTGCTTTTTGACTATATGGTAAAAAGTAACTATTCCTAATGATATAAAAAAGTATTTTTAAGCAAATACGAAAGTACTTAATGTTAAATAGTAATTTGATGCTATATAACAGATTATAAAATCATGAACCAAACATTATATATGTACATCATTTATGCTAATAACTTATCTTTCAAGTAAATGTAATGTAATGGAGTAGGACTTTCGTTTTATAACAAACAAACATGTAAAATAAAAAGATTTATATAGCGCATCATAAAATTTAAATTGAAATATAGTTTTTATAGTAGTTCATCAAATAAAAAAATAAAAATAAAATAGAATTTTCATTTTATTCATACAATAAATATGTAAAATAAAATACCTAGAACATAAATTGTTATAAACCTTTTAAAAATATTTTGTAAAAAATTATTATAAAGAACTAACGAATTTAAGAGTATACATTTGTTAGCATGTAACAAATAAATTAATATGTGAGATAATCTCTTCAACTAGATAACTTATTAAGAATATTTCGTAATAGCATCATTTAAAATATTTCTCCTCTTTTCAATTATCTGCTTCATTACGACGAGATTTGCATCCAAACAAATATGAAAACAAATGTTAATCATATAAGAATAAAAATGGTGATATTAAGGATATAATCTAATAAAATGAATATAACTTGGAATATGCGGAGATTTCAAAATGATAACAAAACTTAATTGTTTTCATATTTATCTAAATGAGTATTATCTTTTAATTTGAAATTATAATAAATAGAAAGAAAATATTGTTTGGTTTATACATTTCAAATTAATAGTTTTTCCTATCATATCTAACTATAGTTGTATTTAATCAATATTACTTTATTTATATATTAAAAAAACCTAAATTCTCATTGTTTCCCATATGTTTTGGCATATACTTTTATTTTTATATATTATACTTCCTTTACTATATATATGAGTCATATTCTGTTCTTTACTATGAATATAACTTAAGTTTTATATATATAAGGGTCAAAATTTTCATTTGTTATATAGTTTACGGGCAAAACTTCATTTGTCATATGTACTGAAATAAGTTAAAAAAATTTTAATGTGTTCATTTTCTACAGGTCAAAAAATATTTATCACGTTACAAACGGCTTGAACAATTAGATTTTTCATTTCTATTATGAAGTAGCAATAAATATTTCACATCATAAAATGAAGTTTTTATAATTAAACTTCTTAAATTTTTGGTTACAATTAAAAACAAATAAATACACCAAATTATGATTCTTTCAATATATATATATATATATATATATATATATATATATATATGTGTGTGTGTGTGTGTGTGTGTGTTGTTAACTAATTAAAATTTTATGCATAAAATATTTTTTAATTGTAAAAGTTCGAAACGAATATGTCAACCTATTTTTAATATACCTAAAACCATATCTAACATTTTTCTTCTACATCACGGTTTCTACCAAGTAAATAATAGCGATCATAAAAAAAATAAAATTTAAGTCAAAATTTAAAATAAAACCAGTAATAAATTATCAATAATAAAAATTAAACAATACTGAAAAACGAGTAATTTTTTTTGGTGTTCTCTATCGTCTTTCTCTTCTTCTTTTTATCAGACAACATAGTACTTCTTTTAGTAAAGAATCACAAATCAAATATACTATTCAATTTCATGTACTCATTTTAAAATATGGGAGAATTTCAATTATACCACTTTGGTGGTACCACTTTTCATGTTTACCATCAACAAAGGAACATTTTCAAAAATACACATTTTATTAAAGGAAAAAGACTTTTATATCCTTGTTCTTTATATATATAAAATAAATATAAAATAAAATATTAACCCTAAACCCTAAAACATCAATTCTAAACTCTAGACCCTAAAAAGTAAACCCTAAACCCTAAAAATCAACCCTAAAATATCAATTCTAAACCTTAAACCCTAAACTCTAAACCCTAAAAAGTAAACCCTAAACCCTAAATTCTAATAGTATTTTGACTATTAAAATTTTGATGTAAA